CCCCTCGAACCCTGCCTGGGCCTGGCAGGATTCCCTCGTTCTCACAGGGGAAGGAGCCCAGGTTTCTCCGACGCCAAAACAGGGATGCTGGCCTTGGAGCTGGGAGAGGTGACCCAGGCTTGGTAAAGCGTGAGCTGATACCTGCTGTGAGTCTGGGGCACCACGGTACAGGCCAGTGCAGCCCCCGACCCCCCTCCCACGCCTAAAGGACCATCTAGTAGAAAGCTCTCCTATGGAGGCATGCTATATATCGCATTAGTAAGAAGAAACACAGGTAGGAGATACCTTCTTTTAGCATAGACTAACTTGATAAAGAAACCCCAACAAAACCAAACCCAAATGCCCCCAACAGAAAATAAAACAAAACAAAACAAAGCACCACATCTTGAAAACATGTAAGTTTTCAAGACCGACGACCCTGAGTTTATTGGAGTTCAACAATGAATCTAAACAAGATGATGGACCCAATACCCTGCTGAAGTCCCTTCCAACCTGAACTATTTAATGGCTGTATGACTAGCTGAAAGTCCACTTTGTGTGCTCACACAAACAGCAGCTATTCCATATCCTTCACAAGTGTTCACTTCTTTCTCTATACTTGCTCCGTACCATCCACATCAATGCCTTGATGTTGTATTTCAGATTTGTGTGCTACTTGCCTCCAGTGCAGGCTTCAGTTCAGAAATGACCACAGCTTTGCAGTCTACAGGGGCTCACTCCAGTCCTGGAAGCTACCTGCAGTGACCTGTTGGTACATTATTCTTTGTGCACTCATATGTATAAAAAACAAAATAATGACATAGCATCTTTGCAAGGTTGTGTCTCCTCAGGCAGCCAAGAGATTTGGTGTATGAAATAACAAGCGCTCTTCTCTGCTTTTTTTAAACCTTCCTCTTTGCAGCTGCAGGCTCAGGCTTTACTTACTCCTTGTGGGATTGCTGCAGGCATTACCAGGAGTGAGGAATGATGCCCCAGCCTCTCCTACCTTGTCTTTATACTGGCTGGCAAGAGGGACGGAAGATCTGGCCCTGAGGACAGGTACATCCCTGTGAACACTCTCTCCAGCTAGGCATTCCT